AGAGTTGTACCAAGTACAAACGATTTGTTCATACCCTGTATTACTTGACTTCGACAGTTTAATACAATAAAGTACACAAAATAATATAACTTTTTTTGGGTATATCGTAAACCGTTAAATTGAGTACGTATTCAATTATACCAGACCTGTTATTTTGTTATTTTTGATCATTTTAAATTATTTTTTATTTTGTTTATTACACGATTAATATAATTATTTGATTAATTTCTGTTATCAATCAATAAGCCAAACTATGGACAAATATGAAGAATATTTAATAACTGCTTGAATTACACAGGCCAACATGGTTTTTTAACCAAGAATCGGACTATACTTTTCCGAAGGTCTTTGACGTGCTGAATTCGAATCTGACCCCAGATCACGTCAGGTTTTCGGGATATTCTAACCTAAAAGTACAAAAATCACGGTTTTTAAGCACATTTGAGCTGCACTACTCCTCCGCTTCAAAATTCATTTTAAAGCTTTAAAAAATCTTTATTTGTTACCGAGAAGTCGTCTGTTGAATTTACTGAGTTTAGTAAATTCGTTGATATTCTGAAAATGAGGAGTATTGGATGTTGGAAATTGAAATATCTGTGTATTTATTTTTTCTTTTAATTAATACTCAAAAAATTAACAATAATTATTGGCAAATCTAAGGCTGCTAAATAAAAATATGTAAAGTAAAAAAGTGTACTTAAATGTTTTTTATTGTATATTCATGAATTCATTTTATTTTTTGACTCCCAAATAGTGGTTTTGGTCCATAATTAGACTAGTATTTTTCTGTCTATTCTGAACTAGTATGAGACTGGTATATTTCTGACCGAAATCTGACAATTGCCATTTCGTAGGGCATCCCCATGTTAAAAATACCAGTTGATTGCATGGAAAAAAGATAGTTGGCTGACTAGTTGGGCATGCGATTCATACTAGTTGTGGGGTAGTTTACAACTAGTTCATTTGACTACAGGGTACGTAGATACATATGTGTTTTAGCACAAAAGAAAACGCCATTTTTCGCATAGACACGTACCACAACGTAAAATCGTCAGAAATTGTGTGCTTGTTTGCTTACAGCACATTTCTATGTAATTCATCTAACATTCGCATGTATGTGTGTTTGTACAGTATACGCGCTATTTTTGAAGAATGTGAATTTAACGAATCATGAAATACGATAATTGAAGCATGCAGTGTACCATTGTTGAATGGAATAATAAAATCACCCGAACAAAAACAACTACAGGAATAGTAAGAAAATAGCAAAAAGGTTGCAAAGTAACATTGAACAGCAAATTCAAGGCAACAATAGTTTGAAAAGTTTAGGACTAGCTGCCGAGGCGGCAACCAAGTAAAGCTAACTGACTTAAGCTTCAAACACATTGGAAACGACGGGCTACGGACCACAGCTGTCAAATTATTTTAACACGTACTCTTATGAAGATAATTATTTTGGCGACGACACGGCAACACTGCGACTAGCCAAAAATGTAGCTGTGGGCAGATTGGATCTATTTATATTTTTCTACCGACAGATAAGATTCTTCCTCTTCTTTTATGTCGCCGTCGACAAGGCGTTTAGATTATGTAGATAAAACCTTAATGTCGTGTCGTGTGTTGATGTCGTTTTCGATGTGTTCAGAGCTTTAGGATGATCACATTTCCTCAAACGTATGTACGTACATACATATATTCATAAGACAAATACGAGTGTATAGATAGAACTATGAATTTGCGAATGGCCTTCCAAGAAATCGTTACAAATATTTTGAATTGCAGAATTTGTGTTTTTCACGCTTACTTCGAAAAGTTTGCGCCCAGCAAAGGTACTCGTATTGTGCGAGTTTTCCTCTGAGAAAGATGGAGAGAGAGAGAGAAGGGCATGTGCGGGAATAGTAAGCAGAATTGTTTGACAGTGTGGCATCTCTCTATTGAATTAGTTCTGAGGTGGCAAATATGAAATGAAATTGAATTTTTATTTTTATTTTATTTTGCCTGGCTAGTCGATATGAATAGGTAGATGGCCTTCGAAGCTGGTTGGCAATTTGTGTGCCACAAAAGGGCACAAGTCATTGGTAGCGGCAAGTTTGCAAAGTTTTAGAAACTAGTTTGCAAGTGACTTTCAAATTCACTTTTATGCTCAACTTTGTTACGAGATGAGGTTGCTTAAATTAAAATTTGTGAAAATTACTAGGGTATAGGAATTTTAGAAAACTGAGGTTTTTTCAAATTGAAAATGAAAAAAAAAACAACATATTTTTGAGTTTTAGTTTAACCCTTTACTGCATGCTATACTAACTTCCAGCTGCTTTCCGGCTTTTTATGGTGGAAAACTTGGATAAATTTTGCTCTTGTGCACATGTTTACCACCCAAATAGCTTTATTCTTATAGTTATAACCAGCGTTGTCGCTTTGGTAATTTTTTACCAAAATTGGAAATTTTTTCTTTATTTATCAAATTTGGTAACTCATTTTTCAGTTTGGTAACTCTTTCGATTCGGTCCTACATGTAACATAGTAGGTCAAAACAAGTCCTGATTTTGCATTAGAAATACCAGGTAATCGTGAACACTTAACAAGGCGAAAAGTTCTTCGGCGTTCCTCGGTTACTAGAATTGTGTGATCTCAAACAAACTGCTTGAAAGTGGCTATTGCTATATCTACCGTGTCCTTTTCCAGAAGGTGGTGGATGGTCCTACCTTTCCTTGTCAGTTCATCAGCTTTGCAATTGCCATCAATATTCGGGCGTAACCCGGAAACCAAAAAGCTACGGAATTCAGTAGGGGACTTAACTTTGTCTAGATATCAGTCGAAAGCTTTCCGGACTGCCTTCAAGCGTTGAATTTTTGAGAAAGTTCTATGTATATGTATGTAAAGTGCTCCAAAATTTAAAGTTTCTTCGCATAAATACGGCCTCATAAAAAAGTCCCATGATAAATTAGCGGTAATAAGTTCGAGAAAACTGGTACGCCGGGAAAATATCCAAAGAAAGGTTATAGATATAAATAAATATTGATAGAAATATGTATTAGTGTATTGCTGATAAAAATATCGAAAATTTTAGACAAATCTTTCGATGAAATTGTAAAGAAAAATAAAAAAAATAGCATTGAAAAATACTAGCCGGCCACGGGTGCGCGAGGCTTGGCCACGCGCTGAATGTATGCATATGTATGTACACCCAATAAACATTTTGGCGAACGTTCGAAAATGACCTTCGATATCCAATATGAATATCGAACTGAGAACCAACTCATAACCAACCTTAGTTTTCCAACGTTTATAGTATATTGGAAATACACTCGAGATGGGTTCGAAAACAAATGGAATCGATAGTAACAAAAGAGAAAGTGATATCCAGCTCATTCTCGAAGGGAAATATAAGAAAATCACTCTCTCTCATTAAAATACCAATTCGATAATGGACTGGATTTCGAATTCATAACGAAAGAAAAATATATTGATTAACGAAGGTTCCGTTTTGCTGGACAATGGTCAAGTTCTCGAATCGAATACTTACCTGTTTCTCATTCGTTATCGAAGGTGAGACTCGAAAGAAGATTGGTTTTCGAATCATTTTCGAATTTTTAACCAAGCCGAATGTTTATTGGGCATTTACGTCTTTGGAGAAAGAAATCATATGTCGTCATGTGCTTCGTTTATTATATACATAAGAAATCTTGTCTAAATCCGTTCAGTAGCGTGGTTAAAATATCTCGCCTTCCTTTGTGCTATATATGGGAGATAGTAATTTTAAATAGGTGGCAACCCTACTCAAAAAACTTAAAGTTTTTGTACATGCGAAGGCCATGCACCCTCCTTTGGTATCTCATTTTTTATCCAACGAACGGTGAACATCTTTTAGTTTTTTGAAGAGGTGGCAACCCTACTCAGAAAAATAATACATTATTACACATCCAGAGGCTGTCTTTTCATTTGACAGTGACGGTGCAGAATTACGCTTATTAGAACTGAATATAGTAATTTTCTTAACAGTTGGCAACCCTATTAAAATTCTTATGGTCACTCTCCTATCGATATGGAATATATTAGAGAAAATCTCGTTAAAATCCGTCCAGTAGTTTTCGAGATTACCGCGTACAAATAATCTCGACTTTCCTTTATAATATTTTTAGATATATATGTATAATCGAAAACAAAAATAAGTACGCATATCGATAAAAATGTCACGAAATTAAAGACTAAAATATCCCTAAAATCATAAATCGATTAAACATTAAAAACTAATATTTGATTAAATTTTTTCTATGAATTAAAAAAAATTAAACGAAAGAAAATGTAAATGTAGATATACACCGGTGAGCGTTTCTACGTATTATCTATACGAATATTGAAAAAGAAATTATAATAAAAATATGAATAATTTATCGATAACAATTTCAAAAAAAAATAATAATAAAAAATGAAAGGTTGTTGAGATATCGAATAAGTATTGGCGCATCGCATATAAAAATATCGAAAACATCCAAAAATATTACAAAGTAAACTTGAAACAACTAATTGTTATTTATTACAGTTTTAAAAAATATATCAATAAAAGTATTAATATATCACTTATAACAATATCGAAAACAATTCGAAGATAAAAATAACGTGAATAATAAAAAAGGCACCTATTAAAATAATAAAAATTATTTCGATGCAATTTAAAATATATATTGATGAAATAAACATACATATGTATATTTCTAAAATTATCATTAAAATTAGCATTAACCGGAAGTCAATTGAGATGGTTGTTTTTATCCAAGAATAGAAAAGTACATAGGCATATCCTCGGCAAAAGAACTCATAGAGGTAAAGTTACATGGTAGGCCCAACTGAAAAGCGCAACAACAAATACTTACCGAAAATTTTGAAAAATTAAAAAAAAGTTTTCAAGCAAGTTTTTCGTAATGAAAATATGTAAGTAAGTATGTACGTTTATTGTTTTATTTAATTAACGCAAGCACAGCATTTTCTTTAATTAATTAATTTATGCTGAACTACTTAAATGTATGTAAGTTATGTCTCCGTTAACTTTTATACCTTCATATATACACATTTCCATATCTAACTACTTATGTATATACATATGTATGTATACTAGCTAACTAGTAATAGCAGGAAACCAAGGTACTTAAGTAGTTTAGCGTATAAATTATGAGGATATAATTCATTTAAATTTATATGTCCGAGTTGATGGAACGATTGATTGATCGGTCGCAGTGTTAGTGCACTGGGTACACAATGAATTGCTTAAAATATAGACGCAAAGTGTCAGTTAAATACATTCATACATTAAACGACATACAACATACATACATACAAAAAATTGTACAAACTAAGGAATGCATTACTAACATATTGAAACTGCTCTTTGGCAGCTGCCTCATTTTTATGTTTTACAATATTTTATGCATACTACATTTTCTTTACATATGTATTTACATACAGAGAGATAGGTTTACAAACAGACATTCATATAAATATATTAACTATTACAAAGCTATGCTTTTCTTTTATTATTTTCGTTGCCGTTGAACGCTGACGCTGTTTTTCTGACTTTTTTCTTCTCTGCTACTTTAACTGATATCGTTGTTGTTATGGCTGCTGTTACTATTGTTTCTTATTGCTTTTTGTTTTTTGTAATTTTCTTAATTTTTTATTTTTTTTTTTGTGCTGTAAGTAGCTGCTGTTTTTTTCCTAGTTGCTGTTTTGGTTGTTGCACCACAGCTCAGCCAAAGGGGAACAAACTCCAACAGCGCCAACACACTCCCATTTATACACATATTTACATATTTACATATGCATATATGTACATACATATATTTTTTAGTAGATATATGCTCCTTATATAAATATACATACATACGTATTTCCAAGCTCGGTTGCTGGTGACTCACTCACACGTCAACTCGCGCCTGCTGTTGTTGCGTTCGTACGCGGCATGCAACTTTTCAGAGCAAAGGCACGCGGCCGCTGTCGCTACTGGCTACTTGCTCTGGCGCTGTCACGCTGGCTGATGTTGCCATATCAAGCCGAACCTACTTAAATACACATGTACATACATGTGTGCTTGAAACACTGCGGACGCCACTGCAGCTGAGGAAATTGCAATGCCTTTTTGGTGCTTTCAGATTTGGCCACTTTTTGTTGCACAATAATAGTCAATGGTGAATTTTTTGCCTTTTTACTTAAAAACACTTTTTTCGGCTGGATGGTTGGTTGGCTGCTTGGCCCGTAATTATGTACGGTTATTGAAGGCTGCTTAGCTTTTGTTGTTTTTGTTTGGTGCTTTTGTTGCAAATATCATATGTGCTTTAGTGTTACTCGCATGCAGACTTCATTTGCGTCAGCGAACATGGGCGTAGTGTAGGGGGATTCAAGGGGGTCGCAGAGTCATTTTTGAAAAATATCAATATTTTGCTGCTCAGCCTACGTATACATGTTTAAAAGCCTCTTTTTTCTAGGAAGGGGTCCTGACCCCCTCATGATTCTCTAATTTTTTTTCAATTATCGTTGGCGCATTTTCCAATAGAAATCCGCTCTTTTACACCACATTAGTTTTAAAAACTCTCATAATTCCACTCTCACTTTAGCCACGCTTCTGCTGCCTCACCGTTTTTTTTTGCACATTTAGCCGCGTGCAAAAAGGGGGCGTTTTTCTTCGTCACTCTTATCACAATGCTTGCCGACATGTAATGTGTTTACAGATTTGTTCCGCCATCAATTTCGCAGTTTCGCTTCTCCGTCCTCATTCCCGCGTGCCACAATGCACGCTCCCTCCACCACGGCGCTTCGCATTGTTTGCAATTACGTTGGCAAAACAACCGCCTGCAGTTTCCATTCACAGTCCCCGCCACCGCCGCCGCCTATGCTGCCGCGCTCCATTAAATGCTCCTTCACTTGTTCGTGCAACTGTTGTTTTTCGTGCTTCTCGTGCTCCTCGTGCGCTGTTGCCAGCAATTGTTGCTGCTGCAAGTTGGTAACACTGCCACTAGCCGCCACTAATAGCATGCGACTGCGCGCATCATGCGGCGTCAGGTGTTGATGTGATGACGCGAGTGGATGGTGGTGCGCATGCGGGCGCTGTTGTTGGTTTGTCACCTTGTACTGCTGCTGCGCCTGATGTTTCTTATGCTTCGGTGTCGTACACGCTTCCGCAAAGTTCGCACGCAGCATGCGCCCTACATAGACCGCTGTCAAGACGGCGTACACAAGTCCCAACAACGCGCCTGCCAGCACGTCCGACCAGTGATGCCAGTAGTCGCGTACGCGGCTTAGCGCGATATAACAGCCCACCAACAGCAACAGGAACTGTAGTATGTGACGTAGTACGCGCGTAGTGCCACGTCCATGCCACACCGCGTGCAAATAGAAACATAGCAGCAACATGGCGTAGAAGGCGAGCGAAGAGTGTGCGCTCGGGAACGACACGTGCAGTTCGCGCAGCTGACGCGCGCTCAAATTGCGATTGGAGCAATAGTAGTGTTCAACGTAGACGCCGCCGCCCACTAGCTGCTGGTAGGCACTCTCGCAGGAGCTGCCGTCGGCCAAGCGCGGCTGGCAGGCGGTGTAGAAGTGTGGACGCAGGCGGCCCACCACATTTTTGCCCAACTCTGTGGTCAGATAGGTGGCGATGAAACCGTAACTGAAGGTCGCCAAACTGCGCGCCAGGTTGGTAATGTACTTGCGCAATCGAAAACACTTGCAGATGCGCATTATTTCAACGACGCTGATGAAGAGCATGGGAAGGAGTACTGTGTAGATCAGCAGCATGGATACGGTGATCGTGCACTCGCGATAGGGATAGCGCAGCGAGAGATCGGCGCAGAAGAAGCCGCGTTGGAAGGCGCGCATGTTAGCGAGGTGAGCGGTAGTGGATGGCGGAAGTGTCGCAATTGACGACGTTGAGTTGCGAAGGGATTGCGTAGTGATCGGGGGCGTGCGCCTTGTAGCGCCCAGAATTTGTACCACAAATGTGAGCAGCTTTTTTAAGTACGGCGATGAGCTTTCTGACAACTCAGATTTCTTACGGATATTTCTTTTCACTTCACTAGTTCTGGCACTAGGGTTTTCAAAATCTCTTCAAAATGTTTATTCACTTCTTAAGTTTTTCTTATTTGTCTGTGTTTATCTGTTGCTGACAGTTACACTTTGTGGAAATTTCTTTGGCGATAAGAGTCTTTATTTTGCAAAAACGTTTCAAATACTGAATTGTTTTTACTTTTTCTTCCGGCTTTCTAAATTTCTCCTCACAGCAGCCGCACCTTTCGGTTTATTGTTATTTTAGAGTCGATGATTAGGCGATTTTTTCCGCTGTGCAGTCTCTTGGGTAGATCGCCACGGTTGATAAGCAAATTGCGCGTTTTCGTTTTGTATGAATTTTTGTTTCAGCATTAAAACAAACTGGAAATTATTAATGAGACGATTAATATTTTTGTTTTTAATGATATAAAATTCTTTAATATTTTGTGTTTAATTTATGCATGTATGTATGTGCAGTTGGAATTCTAGAAAGCAGAACTAGAAATAAAAATGTGGTAGCTTTGAAGCACACCCAGTTTTATAACACCAATAATAAATGTCCAATTTTCCAGTTAACAAAAAGTTGTGTTCAGTTATCAATAAGTCAAAATGTATGTTAAGTCTTTAGGTGGACAAAGAAATATGTCCAGTTATTGAATGATGAATCATTGATTTCGAGTGGTGAAATTGTCAAAAACTCTTGTCCCGTTTTTAAATGGCCATATATTTTATGTTATTTTAACGCATATTCTTTTTAACTCATCATTTAATGTCAATTTTTAAATGAACATAATTTTTAAACAATAAAAAATTTCAAGCACATTTTCTTATTATAAATTTTAATTAAATTACCTCGTAAATTTTAAATTGGTTAAATGAAAGAAATCTTATACAACTACAAAAAATTTTTTGGGTTTTTATATTTTTATTTTGCTTAGTTAAATTTTTATTTAATTTCATTTAAATTAATTAATTTATTTATTTAATCGTTTTCCAAATAAAAAATCAAAAATAAAACAATCTATTTTTTTTTTTAATTTTTATCTGACATACATTTTCTATAATATGATCTTAAGATGTTTAATTCTCGTAATTTTATTACTTTTTCATTTTTCAGATTCTAGTTAAATTTTTGTTATACTTTTAATGTTTCGATTCTTTGGTGTTCTTAGCAATGATTTGACCTAAGTTTTTTAATACAAAAAAGAATATACATACATACATATATTCACAAATATTACTGTGATTAAAATTATGTTAATCTTTTTATATAATTTTGAGGCTTATAGTTTTTTCACTCATTATATGTAAAAGTTTAAAATTTGTTTCGCAATAAATATTAAACTCTTTAACACACGCACAAAAATAATTTTAGCATTTATTTGCAAGCCAGTCACTTTCTTTTAACAAAACATTTCCTCTATATTATCCTCTTCACTCACTTCCTCATTAGCTGCTACAATGTCATTCGCAAATTTTTCCGGCAACGCGCTTCAACCTTTGACCGCTCTGATATTTGTTTTGTCTCATTGAATTTCATCTATTATACTATTTCTTATTGTTGTCATTAGTTGATATTTATAATTTCTTTTTCGCACGCCAAAATGATCATCACACGCGCGCGTTCACGCTCAGCAACTGACTGCTGTTTGTCAAAGCGTTTCGCTGGCGATCTAGCCATGGACGGGAGCAGCAACGGACAGCGCAGCGTGTCGACTCAACTGCACACCAGCGTCGGCGCGACAGCGACTTTAACGCCACAGTAGCTGCCAGCGCGGCGTCTTAAATGTGGTTAGTCGCACAGCGGCGCGCCGCGTCGCAAGCTGCCTGCACACACCTAAAACAAAACACAACAAAAATGCTGTCAATGGCTGGCGTGAAAATGAATAGCAAAAGTGTAAAACAAAAAACAGAACCGCAACTTTGTATTAATATCAAAACAAACCAAGCGCTTTGAAAACTTATTACCCTTAGTGTTTTTGTTAGTTTCTTTTTCATATATAATCAGTTTACTTTCCTTTCACTTTGCTCTCAGCTGAGGGACGCCCAACAAGAACTTTTGTACTGTTGTTATTAAATTTCAAATCGCTGGCGCGTAAGCCGATATTCTTATCAAAAAGCAGCGACGGCTAGCTAATGGCGACTGCGCCTCCGGCTGCGCTGATGAACATAGCTAAGGCGCTGGTGGAATCAGTAGCGTCGACGCTCGTGCACGGCTCTCAAATCAACGTACATACATATGTATGTGAGATTGTTTGTATGTATGCAATTGTATTTTATTTATTGATATTTATGCATGTAGATTTGTTTCTTTGTCACACAGTTTGCGCGTTGATAACGTACACCGTCGAGTACTTAATCATCGGAGCTTTCAGCCGCTGTCGTAAGCGATATTGGCGCGCACACCTCAACTGAATTAACTAAGAGTCGTGAGAAATGCGTTGTTGCGCAGTCTAGTGGGTGGGCCACGATGCGCACCTTTTTCCTGTACCATTTAAAAAAAGCAACGTTATAATAATAATGCGAGAAAGTGAAGCATACGCCAGTAATGAGATGACACCAACTAAGTAGTTTACAGTGTAGACGAAAATTGGTTGGATAGGATACGATGAGAGAACGATTTCTTGGACTCATTTAAGTAGATAAACATATTTCTTACTCAGAATTTCCTGATTGTACGCGCCGACTTTCGTTCTTTTGGAATTCGCAAGCAGCTTATAGAATTCCTAGTAGGAAACAGAAAGCTCAGAAACGGTTTATAAATAAATCGACATGCAAATGTGAATTATCTGTGGTAGGTTTGATGATTAGCGGTGGGAAAATATGAAAAAATCGATGACGCAATTATTTATTTAAGATTAAACAAAGCAAAGGACTGGTTTGACTATTGATTGGGGATGCTTACACTAAATACAATCGATTAATCGGTTAATATGAATCGATTTGTCGATGATCAATTTATCGAAATTTAAGAAAAATTAAATATAAGGCTATTGAAAAAGTTCATAAATCCACTTATCGATGGAAAAACGATAAAATATAATCGATTATTAGTCTATTATTTAATCGATAGAATAAAATAAATAGATCGACGATATGGCTTTTCTTTAATAAATTAATAATACGAAAATTAAGAAAATCGAAACCTCAGAGCTGAAGGCGGAAAAATGAATAGGTGAATATGTATGTATGTATGTTTTCAAAAATATAATCTCAATTTATTTTTTCTTGTTACTGACAGAATGGAAATATGTAGAGTTAGCAAGTTAACCTTCGAAAATTGCTGGGCTAAATATTTAACGATTTTACTCTAATTTTACCCCTAACCATTGATTGTGCAAGCCAATTTATCAATTTAACCGGTAAACTTAGAGTTAAATAGATAACCTGCTGTTCTACAAGTGGGCCTTAAAATTATAGCGGTTGCTTTTCTCGAAAAAAGGGCTGCACTTATTCTGCCCTGTGTTAGCGCTGCCAAATTTTCATGTTCTTTTCTCAGCGCTTTCACAGGGCGTCGTGTTATTTATGGGGCTTTCGCACGAGGCGACTTTTCAGGCAACTTTTGCGTTCAACTCACGCAGGGTTGCACGAAAAAAAAAATTGAATAACTAAAAATATCAAAATATGCGCCATAAAAAGGCGTTTGCGTTGTTCAACTTTGCATTCTACTTTTGGTTGAACGGCCTTTGAACTAATCGCTTTCAACAAAGTTGGTCGCCAGCCATCATTTAGCCATGCAACTCTTTTTTAGTGCAACCCTGCGTGAGTTTAACGCAGAATTTGAACGCAAAATCGCCTCGTGCGAACGCCTTTTTACTCAGCAGGTTGCGCTCTGATCCATCAATAGTGCTGCTTTTTCCGCGCTCAAATAAACGTGGGAGTGAGAGTTGCAGGGTCGATTTTTTTATTTTCACTTGTAAAAATAATTTTTTTTTCGTATAAGAAATATGTAAGTGTTTTCCTATGAAATTCATTAAAGTCTTACACTGCAATTGAATAATTCAGTTTTATTAACTTCTATAAATGAACTTGCGATGGAGTAGCATATTTCCTGTTCATTCTCACATAAAGAACGCAACATTTTCTCAGGTTTCAGGGCGACAAAAAGCAAAAGCTCCCATATAAGAGGGCACACTTTTTTTTGATTAATTTCATTTATTACATATTTTTTAAAAATGTGTCACACAGATATCAACCAAGGGATGAATATAATATATTTATTTTATAACAAAAATATAAAAAGAAATTGAATTTTTGTAAAAACTTTTTAAAACATTTTGTGGAGCCATTTCGATAGCGCCTAGTTCCGTTACCACTTTTTTGAGAATCGAAACCAGTTCTCCTTGGAACCGGACCCGGCAGAAATGGTTTTTTAAATCATTAACAAGCAGTTATAGTTATTTCCGGATCTGGTTTTTTAGTTGTGCCTCTTTTGAAGCTGCTATAAAGTGCGATGTGGATATTGTGAGGAAGGAGCTATTATTTAGATATTTAGTTAAATAAAATCCATAACCGGAAAGGGTCGTTTATTATTTAAATGTTATATTTCCGTTTACTTGAAAAAAAATCGATTAACAGAGTTTTATTGTGTTGTTTTATTTTTTGCAAATTATTGAATGGCAGAGACTATCTAATCCACGTATGATTACCTAGCAATACGTACAAATAATATTGCCCTATTAAAATATTAACGACAAAGAAAGCCGATATCTATTGATTAATTGCAATTAAGTCGTTCATAGCGATTACAGTTAAAAGTGAACTTTGCTAATTTTTTCACGCTTCGAACTATTGTACTACATGCAAATTTGCATAAAACTAGTATAAGAGCAATAGGGCGGGTTAATTTGTACGGGAGATTTTTTCAACTATGTGTGTATAGCACAGATAGATTCTACGTGTAATTCGTAGCAAATTTTCCGAAGGAGCTATTGGTAAAAAATCAATTTAGAGTTTGCCAAATGTGAAAATAGGTTTTTTGGCATTTTGCAGTAGAATCCTCCTATGTTATACCTATGCGCATGGTAAAAAAACATTACCCGCCCTAATGAACATACCACAATATAAGCATTTACTCCTACATTCATAAGTTCAGTGTCTAATGCTAATACACATTTAGTATTTGCGCCCAATTTAATCATTCTAGATATTACAATAACTTTTTCATATGCAAATCGCATACATCAGGTATTCAAAACGGTTCATCAACAAAACAAAAGCATAAATTAGAATTTTATTACATATTTTCAAATTGAAATTAAAACAATCGAAATTCATACCACTTTTGTGGTAAGCCATGAAAAACGATAGAGAGGCAAATATGTGTCAAATTGTTGCATGCGAGTACTTGTGTAGACATGTGGCTGCATAGGCATGAGCGCATGCGTATCGATACATTTGAAATTTATAGATTTATAAAAATTCACATTGATTCCACACCTGTTTGAAATATTTATGGCATTCAACATATCAGAGATTTATGGGTAGATAAAATAGTCATAAAAATCACGCATGAATGCGGCATCGCAATACTTTCCATGTGCTAAAGAATTGTTTACAAAATATCAGGACAAAACCCGGCGAAACGAAACGTTTTTCCACAGCTATTTTAAAATTTTAAACTTGAGAACCATTTGGGCACCGCTCGCTTTATTAAGAAGTTTTTCTTAAAAAAAAAAATATTTTTGAATGCAAATCTCTCACTGGTGTTTTCCAAATGGAATTTAACAAGACATGACGGAAGTTCGTTTCAAACCACACCCTTCGCATTGGCACCTATCCTGGGATATGACAAAACCAAAGATTATTATAAGTACTCAGTGGTCTGAAGCCTTAAGGAGGGTATTGAGGTGCTTTTCAGCACGGGTTCTATCTTAGATCGAACTTATTTATCTATTGTCATTCCTACTTTGATTTCTGCCGCTAAGACCGAGCCTAATATATCTTTGGAGAATGAGTTCAGCCTTTTCCAGCCGAAGTCTTAAAAAAAAAAATACTGAGCAACTTTCAAATTAGAGCATTCAAGTTCGCGAATAAGGGTTTCCTAAAGAGATGCTTTCAAATAAAAAGTGGCATCCGCTTTTGAGTGCGTGCACTTTAATCAGCTTAAAGGAGAATAGTCTTAGCTGAAAGCTTTCCGCCAGGTGAGATTCTCTGTAGCTCTAAAGTGTCTCCACTTTCGGGGCAAAGGTTTGGAAGTAGTGCCATTTTTGTCAAATCAATGCACCGGATGCTATCTGCTATACGCCACAATATGATTTGCTTATCAAAAAAATTACTTCTTCTAAAATCTGGAACTTTGTAAAAGAAGATAGTATAAACATGTTTGTATACTCAAGTCCGGCAACAACTTCGACATTTACAGGAAATCGAGCTATGCGCATCCATTCTGTATCCAAAGGATAAGGGGTGGAATGTCATAATGCTTTCTCAACGTTCGCAAAGCTCTTCCTTATAAATGCCTCCTAAATAACCAACGAAATAAATGCAAGAAAGGGAGTGAACGTCAATATCGCAAGTTGATTGAATTTATCAGCAGCAGAACTTGCGATCCTGCAGGATCTACAAGTGCCTATTGTCACCTTTCTGCGCTAAAACAGCATTAGCCATAACAGACTGCGATGGGCAGA